TGTGGAGCAAATGCTAGATGCAGAATCTCCCACAGTCAATATAGTCAGATAGACCTTCCCTGACTTGACGTAAGGCACCTTCATGTATTCACAGACGGTTCTTAAGTAAGCCATCCCATATTCAGTTCTGTGGTTCTTTAACTTATTTCTGTCTCTCCTTTCTCCCTATCGAGTCAAGATGGCTTACGGAAAAGAAGTGATGGAGGAGGAGGAGGTTGGATTTATACCCTGCCCTTCATTCGGAGTCTCAGAGCAGCTTACAATCTCCTTCCCTTCCTCTCCCCACAACAGACACCCTGTGGGGCTGAGAGAGCTCTTCTGAGAACTGCTCTTGAGAGAACAGCTCTGAGAGAACGGTGACTGGCCCAAAGAAGGCTTGCCAAGTTCCCCCGGAGGGCCGGGAAACCCCTGCCCCAGAGGCCCGTTTCCCGCCACCGGCAGATCGGGCCCTAGGGGGAACCCCACCCCAACGTGCACGTCACCCGGAAGCAACGCGACCACGCCGCCCCCCCGACGTGCATGTCACCCGGAAGTGACGCAACCACGCTGGGGGCGGGGCCACGGTCATCCGAGGGAAAACACTGGTTTTCCCTCGGATGGTCGTGGCCCCGCCCCCAGCGTGCCCGGTGTGGTCGCGTCACTTCTGGGTGACGTGGATGTGGCGCGTGCGCTCCAACCACCAGCCGGGAGTCCCCCGCTGCGGCGAAAATCAGACTTGGCAACCCTAGCCCAAAGTCACCCAGCTGGCTGCATGTGGAGGAGTGGGGGATCAAACCCAGTTCTCCAGATTAGAGTCCACCGCAGTTAACAACTACACCAAACCAGTAAAAGTCGACATGGAATAGTCTATAATACTGACCTACCTTACAAGGTTGTTGTGAGATTGTTAGGGGGACACATAGCTCAGCGACACATGAATAGAGAAGGGAGGCTGAGCAAGGAAATTGGTGGCTTGTTTTCCTTCTTCCGTAGAGGCTTAGAATGTGCTATATCCCCAAAGGGCTTTGGAATGGGTCAGGATGTGTTACTCTACCCTATGTTTTGAGTCTGGCACTTCCACTTAAAACTCTCAAGTA